TTTCAAAATGCTCCATGTTACACCCAGGAAAATCTGAAAAAATATAAATTCTTGAGTGTAGCAGGCAGGCGTTTTGAAACGCCTGCCTGCTACACTCAAGAAAAGCTCATCAAAAATGTTTAAAGTATAGGCGTAACTACAGAATGAATTAAAAACGCATTCTGAACGCATCTCAGAAAAAACTTTCAGTACAGCAACAAAGAAAAAAAAGAAAGGCGTTTCAGAAGAAGCTGGGCATAACAGTGATGCATAACAAACGCATTTTTTAATGCCTAACTGTTATGCGCAGCAATACCTGTAACAAATTATTTGCTGGGCATGAGCACTTGAAAAAATTGCATTTCTGAATGAATGCTGAAGTGAGGCAAAAGTTCAATACAGTATTTTATTCTAATCCTTTCAAAATTTTCAAGAAAGATTTAGAAATTGTATGAAGTTTTTCAGTGTCATCATTACAACAACAAAAAACTTGCAGCATTTACATTAGAATGCAGTGAGGGGCTCCACAGAAAAGCAACAAGAAATAACATTCAGCAACTTGTAAATCTTTTTATTGCCTCCAAAACGTTTATATAGACTGAATAGAGCAATAGAAAATCTAGAAAATACATACAGAAACTGCAAAATTTTGTATTGAGAACTGGCAAAAGTGAAAGATAAAGACATATTTTCCCAACACAAGATACCCATCAGGGATATTTAAAGAATAACAAACTCAGTTTTTCACACTCCTGCTCCTGGAAGTCCTCATAGAAAAAATGGCCAACAAGATCCCCTTGGCCTGGTGCACAGTATACAATTTCAGGGGGGATCTTTGATTTCCCAGAAGGCAAGGGGAAACTTTTTTTTAGGGGGAGTGGGTGTTCAAAAAGCATCTCTGTTGCAAAAAAGGGACACTTGGATTTATGGAACCCAGAACAATGACAAAGGGGGATGAGAGTGATAATGAGGCCAAGCAGGGGATGGATTAAATGAAATTAATTTTGTACATAACAATTGTTTATAAATCACTGATGTTTCAGAAATAAAATCTCATAATTTTTAAACACCAAGAAATCACTTCACAAGATTTTTTAGGCAACCAAAGGCTTTTGAAGTTGGGACAAGAGTGACACTTTTCATGCCACCACCAGAGGCATGAGTGGAATTGTAATTTTTGATTTAATACAGTGGCGTGAGTGGAATTGAAATTTTAAATTTAATTTTCTCCTCCCCATGATTTGTTGGCGCTGCCTCTTCCTGTTTTGGGTGATTGGCCTTGATTTCTTTTTCAATGCTGGAATCATTGTGTGCTCTTGACAGATTTTTGTGTCCTTGAACTGGCTTCCTCTTCAAGGGTTTTAATGTGCAGCAGTGTGCTTGAATTGATTCATTGATGCCTGATTTTTAAAATCCTAAATACTTTTCTCTTTTCTGCTTTTGCAAAGTTTTCATACTCTCTCAAAAGTTTGAATTCCCCAGCTTAGGAATTTTTAATTTGAAATTCACCTGTTTGGGGAATTTCATTTCTGAATTTTTCAGGGGCCTATTTGCCTGGTGGGCCTAATGCTGCAGCATCAATAGCACCCACCTTAATCCGGCCCTACGTAAACTTCTTGAATTGTAGGCCCAGTAAACATATATTTAAAGACAAATTTTCTGGATTTTCCTAGGCAATTTTAATGGTTTGGAACCAAATAAAATTATTTCTGCACTTATTCCTTTTGGGAAAACAGGATTTCGTTTTTTTTTTTAAACATTTACTCAGGAACAGATTGAGTTTGTAAAACAAGACCCGCCCATCACTGTATTATCGTGATTGACGTCGGGATGTGATGCTTTCGCAGGCGTACCCAGCCGCTGGTCTCCATGTCCCAACAGCAGCAGCAGCAGAGCAGCATGAAGCAAGTGGCGCCCAACTACGTGACCAGCAAGTACCCCCTGGAAATGGGGGTGGTGTACACCCCCTACGGCACAGTGGCGGCGGGTGCAGTGTTGGCTGGCATCGCCTTCGGGCTCGAAGAACAGACCTACACTGTGAGGAACCTGCTGCCGCAGGACAAGGACGAGACCCAGTTGCCTGCTGAGATTCGCGACGCCCAGATCATCAACTCATTTGCGGGGACAATTGCAGGTGTGTGCCGAAAGGGGGGTTGGTTTTTAATTATTTAATTATTTCTGTTGCATATTGAACTGTCCAAAAAATATTATATTTCCATCAGACTTCAAAAACACCAGAGAGCTAAAGCAGCAATGAAGCTTCAAAGAATTTTGGTGTTGAACCAGCTTCTGTCTGCAGCAGATCTGGAATCCACTGATTGATTGATTGATATACACGCTTTCATTTGCTGCTTATTGTCAACAATGACGAGGCTCAAAACATTTTTCCAGCATCCCCTCATGCATCCATTGAGCATATATTCTGGCATGCCAAAATGAAAATTAATTCACTATACAGTACTGTACATGGATAATAGAAGAACATACTGTATGCATCACAGTATGTTCAAATCCATGAGTTCCTTATGAAAAAATGACAACACGGGAAAAGTAATGACAGAGCCCAAATTGAGCACAAGGTGTTCATTCTGTTTCTATATAATTTTCAATTAATCAAACAATTTAGAGAGGATCTTTTGTGTTAATGGGTGAAATCATATAGAACAGTGTTTCCTGATTCTCTAAAATTTGGGAACGTACCTCTTTAAAATCAAATTGTGCTACGTAATTGCTGAATTTGAAGCCGGTTAAAATATTGATTCTGTGCAAAGCATCTACTTTGGGAATGTTTAACTTGCACGAAACTCATGCACCACAAATTTCTGGTTATTGGCATTGCAATTGAATTTCATGCTTAACAAGTGGGCTATGTCACTGATGCACATGATGAGGTTATTTAATTGCGCACATGTAATACATACGGTATCACGAGAAGAAGGAGAATCAGGTATTTCTTCATTTCTATGCTTGATTTCTTCTTTTTGAAGTCTTCTTTGTTGCATGTAGAAGGAAAGACTGTACTGTAAATCCAAGAACATATTGATATTTTATTGCGTCCCAAATTGGCGAGAACAAAGGGAAATCAGGCACTTCAATAAAAAACCCCTCTTCACCTGGAAAAGAAATAAGATTGTCTGCTACACTTGCGCGTTAACAAGTTCAAGGAATTTTAGTGCAGCAGTGTACGCCAAATATTTAAAATACTGTACACGGGTAGTGCAATAATCATTGATGCAAGAAAGCGTAAAAACGCAATTTTGCAACCTTCACGCTTTCGAACCACCCATTGCCGATCGGGAGAAAATCAGCGTGAAACGAACAGGTTAAAAAAGGCCCTTGGTTTTATAGCAATATCTGTTTTCCTAGGGAACGATCACCATTGCACACTTTCTTGTAAAGAAACAGATGACGCTCCTCGCACCGAGAAAAGGATTTTTCCAAAGGCTCCTCAATATGCGTGTATCATTACTTAAAAACCACGAACGGTGTTCGGGACGAAAATGCATGAGCTAATTCTCTCTATTCTCTTGATTCGAAAGGAGTTTTTATAGAACTTTATATAATTTAGAAATTTCAGTCAAAATTTTACCCCGCAAGTGTATACACAGTACAATACTTTTTAAATTGTATTTCTCATAGATGTCGCCTACTTGCCTTGACACTCCGCATTTTCACCCCGGCTGATTCATGTATATAACGACTTCTTGACCCATTGATGAAAAGAATATCCCCGTATTTACTACAGTACCACGCGCACCTTTTTTTTCTCAAAATTAAGTTGAAAACGGGTGAGGGTCATAGGCGAGGATTAAATGAATGAAACATGTCAAGAGTTGAAGTGCGCATCACACGCATTTAATTGGAAAGATTTGACGGTAAATTTTTGTTCGACATAAAATTTGAAAATTGATGAACTTCACGCTGCATTCAGCGCCAAATTTGAATTCTGGTGTTTCTAACTTTTGAAATATTTGAGTTTTTCAGTAACTGAAAAGGGGTTGGACACCTTACTTGGGGATATAACTTCATTTAAATTTCAAGGTGCAAAATCGGGGTGCGTGTCTTACTCGAGACGAGAGTGTGGTACAGTACTTGGGTAATTACGGGTATACAGTATTATAGAAGCATATTTTATTGATTAAAGAAAAAAAACAACATCGATGGTAACCAGCAGTGCCATACCTAAATTGCGAAATTACGCATCCCATTAATATTTTAAATATTTTCCAGGTGACATTGCCCAGTCAGCAGTATTGAAAGGAAGTACAAGCATTGATGACAACAAATTGATCGGACCTATCGGTCGCTGGAATGACACAGTGTTGCCAACTGAATACTCCTTGGACTACAGACTCGAAGACGTTTCATTCCTCACCTACGCTGAGGCCCTCGGCGGCATCGACGGTTTGCATTTACTTTATTTCGAATAAATATACTGCCCTCCCCCTTCAAGTTTATATATACAGTACTGTATTGTACATATTCACCCACATTTTAAACATACTGTAGTACACCCTCAGTTACCAAACCTTCCTGCAGTAGAAACAAATTTTCAGTTGAAGTTTTGTCCTTAAAGAAAAATCCCTTAGTTAACAAACCAAAATTCAGCCAACAAAAGTTTGTTCCCATCAAAATTTTCATGTTTTATTATGATCCAGAATTGTAGGGTGCTATCCAAATACAGTTCCAATGTGCTAAACAAGCAGAAGAAATATTAGACAGCACAATAGTGCTTAGGCTTATGCACAGTATATTCAAAGTTTGTTCTGCATGGAGTGAGTAAATGAGGGGGCAAAATGAATGTTCTATATGCTTTGAGCAGAATAAATTGAACAAATTATATTCATGAGTAAGAATGTGTGGACAAAGACATTTTCAAGCAGATTTTTCTAGTCGTTTCCAGCAGTGCTCAACTGCTGAACTTGTTCTTTATAGTTACGTCATTGTAAAATGGAAGTTTCCTTTTTTGGCAGAAGTTGTCCTACTCATACATGAATGCTTTCCTAGATATGAAGCTTATTGAGTGTTCTTTTCATTTTCATTAGTCATAATATTCCATCCAACCCTAAAATACCTCGTGAATGCACACAGTGTGCTAAAATAATACATTCTGATTTAAATATTTGTCAGAAATTATTTAATTAATTTTCAATGGGAGCTTGAGTTCCAGGGATGGATTAATTGTTTCTCCATTGAAGTCTAAGAGGAAATCAAATTTTCTTTAACAACATGTTTGCTTAACGAACTCTTGTCTGAAACAAATTAAGTTTGTTAACCAGCAGGGTCCACTGTACAGGATTCAGAATGAAGAATCTGATCTGTTACGCATAAAATTTTTAAAATGTCTTCTTGGTAATTGAAAATAATAATTCTGTTTCATAAAATGCAGGGCTTCTGCTCGCAAAGCGCATCAGGGATTGGGACAAAACTTACGTCAAGCTGTCGCACATCTTGGAATTGTACTACTCAAATCAAGGAATATCTTTCGGCAAATTGGATCAGTCCACGGACACCGGTGCTGGCAATGGCCCAGTCAAGTACAGGGCCTGTGACAGGTTCAACCTATTCAAGAATGGGAATGTGGTCAAGAAAACCGAGCTTGATGACCAGGCAAGTTTTATTCTTTTCCGGATGATTCATATACGTCGGCAATAATAGCTAGCTAGTAAAGAGAGGAAAAATATTAACTGCATTTCATCCTTTTTTCAATTTTCTCGGAGGACAGGTCAAATCATTTGCTTACCTGTTGTATGCGTATCAAAGCCCCATCTGGAGTGGGATGAGGGTGGAAACCATCAACAGTCTGGTCGACAGAGCCAACAAGGTTTTCTGGAGATTCGTCAGTGAGTATATATTTTCCAATGCCTTCTTGCAACCAAAATTATTGCTGGAAAGAGGATTCAGATCCGAAAAGTTTATTCTAAAGCCATATGGTTCATCCATCACACGTAAACGATCGGCCATGGAAAAGTTCTTGGCATTTTTTGAAAAAAAAAACATTCTTTTGGCGCAAGAAAAAAGTCGGCACTGTTTTTTTAAAATTTCAGAACATTTTTGCGAAAATCACCTCGGCAACTTTCTGCTTTTCACTCAAAAGATGAAGCGCCCATCTTGCAGTTTTTCTGGTACAGTATAGCCCAAAGTTTCCTTCGGAATTCTTGACATTGACATGAAAGTAATTCAACGGGTTACTGCCATTAATTGATTATTTATTCCGCCATTTACATCTGCAGCCGTCTTCACACCTGCCACTTGGGATGGTAATGTGGTGGCGGCTGTTGATAAAAATGGCGGAATTACTTCAAAAGACCATGAGGCAACCTCAGGAATCAATGCCATGTTGATATTAAGAATTCTGAAGGTGAAGCTGGGCTACGCAAAAAAAAAATAAAAATCTGCAAGATGGGTTTCTCATATTTTGAGTGAAGAGCAAAAAGCCGCCAGCAACAGGGTAACTTTCGCAAAAAAAATTATTCTGAAAAATATGTGAAATAGAGTAGAATTTTTTTTATGTGCCAAAAGATGTTTTTTTCTGAACAATAAATGCTTTACAGCTCAATGGTATGCCGTTTAAATTTTATTCAAATAACTTTTGTTAAACGACCTATCGTAGATCCACACCCACCTGCCGTGAATTCATGAACATTTTCTTGGAACAAATGCCCGGGGGTTTATTTTTATTTATTTATTTTCATCATCATCATCATCATCAGATGAAGACGGGCGATCAGCAGAGAGCGACACCTGGGACTGTCCGACTTTTGTGCCAACATCCAGCAACACCAACAACAACGCCAGGTTCTTCGACGAGGACCCGAACGTGCCCTTCGAAACCCGACTGGACATCCACACCATGCTGGACTCCAATGCCGGAGAGCCAGAGATTTATTCCTTCATGTACGGCATTTCCCAGGTGCTGGCCAGGTTGCAGGTCGACACCCATGGTACCAACAGGTTCGGGCTCAACATGACACAGAGTGAACAGTGGATGTGCTTCCTGGATATTGGGGAGGAGCCCAACAAGGCCATGGTGGCCCACCGGATGCTCCGAGCTGAATCCTGGGGTAAACTTCATCATCTCAATAAGCTATACCCTATCTCAAGGAAAATATATCCTTGTGTGCCATCCACCTTTTTAGCCGGCACTTATTTATTATTAAACCCCCGAAATTCTGCCAAACAGACATACATTGGTGGTCTAACCCCTATATGCAGCCAATTTGGCATATCTTTGAAAAAAAAAAAATTTTGCCCATGAACACTGCAAAATAAATAAAAAAAAAAACGGATTTTTGAACCAAGGCCCATGTTAGGAATATGTCTGCATTTCTTTTTTTATAATCCTGCAGAAAATGTTTCCTCAGAAATGAAAATAATTCCTCATTGAGTGGCATTTTTTCATGCATTCCTAGAATAGGATTACCATTGGGGATTTCTTGAGACAACGGGATTTTCTCTTCCTAGATTTTTCCCAACTTAGGCCTCCCCAACCTTGGGGCATTTCAGTGACCTTTGGTCAAACTGAAATGTGCCTCCCTCAGAAAAAAATCCCAAAACTTGCTGGAAGATGGCCAGGAACCATCTGCCATCCAAGGGTTAATGGCAAAGTTCGACTGTAATTGGAACAGCAACATCATACAAAGAATTCATTTGTGGAAAGATGAAATGTTTTGATGAAGAATATGAACATAGTTGAGAGCAGTGTTATCCAACCTTTTTTTCCCTGCACAGCAGCAAATTTCCATGAACTTGCTTGCAGGCAGGAATTATTTCCAAACAATTTTTTGCACACCAGCAAAGCTTCATAAAATTTTTGTAGACTCAAAAAGTTATTTTTGAAAGACTTTATGACAGGTGTCGAAAAAGTTTGTGTTTTTTTAATCAAGTTGAGAACCAATGAGGCAGATATAGAGGAATTTATTTTAAAAATTAGAAAGGTGGGCTTGAAGAAATGTTTCTCAACATGAAAAATTCAAATAATTTATATTCCAGCACGTGACATTTTTATCCAAACTGTTATTAGGAGAAATAAAGTCAACTTTTATTTTTCTTCGGATGATTTCAACTGGCATTGCCTTTCCAAAATTTCAGATAAAGATATCAGACTTCATTGCTACTTCTGATAAATGTAATATGCCAAAGAAAAATTTCCTGCAGACCAATAAAAAACGTTTGCAGACCAGCACAGATCCCTGGACAATGGGTTGGGGAACACTGGTTTACCATACTTTGAAACGTTGTAACCCAGAAAGCACGTTTTTTTTTCAGGTTATTCCGGCAGATTCAATTTAATCGACACCATGAACGCCATTAAAAAGGAGCACCTCGCGTATACGAGGCAAGAATACATGGACAACAGTGCTGGGTCAAATGCCAAGGTTTTCCTTTTGGTTGTGCCCAAAAGCAAACCGGTTGCAGATGGATACGACGAAGACAAGTTGAAGGAGTTCTTTGAGCATTTCTACGAAGACGTGCCAGGTTTTTATTTTTGCCTATACACAAACTTTGTTCCAACTTCCGCCTTTCTTTACAATGTTTTTCCATTTTTTTCTTCGCCCAATCTTAAGATGCTGAATTGATCGTACTTGGCACCGGGACTGACTGGCAGAGGTACTTGCGAGATGAGAATGAGGACTTCATCAACATGAACAGCGATTTCGCGAGCAAATTGCTCAAGCGGCTCAAGCGAGGTTCGTATATATACATTTGTTTAATAAATGTTTTACGTCTCATTTTTACGGAGGTTCAATCACAAAAGTAAAGCGAATAAGCAATCAATTCGTATCAAATTAGTTGATGGCACCTGATGGTGATTGACTTTCAAATTTTGTCAGTCCATTAAACAAAAAGCTATTCCATGGAAGCGGATGACGGCGAGTCCATAATATGAAAAACATATACTGTAGTATAATTTTAATGTGCACATAGAACGCATTAAAGAGAATATGAAAAAAGGTCCTGTTCGCATTTTTGATGTTGTTGACGAGGGGATTCTTTCATTTTGCGCATCATTTTACACAGAAATTTTCTCGAACATCACGTCAGAAATTTTATTACAAAACTTCACTCCCAACCGTAACATTTTCACTAAGTTATTCCCGTTTAGTGACCTTCTAAATCAAAATTGGTCACGAAATCTTTTTGGCACGTGAATTCTCAATCTACATGAGCAAATACTTCGCAGATAAGTGGAGTAATATAGGATAAGTCGAACGAATTAGCAAGAAATTCTAATGCAGTACTTCAGCTGATGAAACCCGGTGATCAATTTTCGATGAACTCTTATACTGTATAGTCTATTTGAAAATAGACCTTTTCATTGAAAGCAGTTAATGAAACCGAGTCCATTCGGGCATCATTTGAAGATCATACAAAAGAATTGTAATAAATAGAAGGCCTTCAAGAAAATTAACCAAAAAAGGTGCCATGTGTGCCCTTTTTCGCGAAGATCCTTTAAATTTGCGCGTACATTTTTCTAGATTTTTTTTTCCAACTGCACGTCGGCAATTTCATTTAGAAAATTCATGCAAATCTTAGAATTTTAGCTGAATACTCGGAGTTTTCGTTTGCAGGTGACTTTCTAAATATAAATTAGTCACAAAAATGATAAAGCCCTATAAAGAAATACCCGTATTTGCTCGAGTACCAGCACGTGCACCTTTTTTTTTTAAAATTGAAAAAAAGGGTGCGCGTCACAAGCAGGTACAATGTTTTCAAGAAATTTCAGAAGTGTATGTGTGCATCATATTTTAGTATAATAGAGAGTTTTGGAACAAATGTAACAAGAAATATTTTTCCTTTAAAAAGGTGGAAAGTGACCAGGTTTATGTTCCATTCATGTCTAAATTCAAATTTTTTTGCTTTTTTTTTGAAATTTTGTGGTTTTAGAGTCACTACGAATTGGGGTGCGCGTCTCAATTGGCATCAGGGATAAGATTTTAGCACAAATTCTAACTGAAAAACCCTTGATGGGCACACCTTACTCATGGGCGCGTGGTATACTCGATTAAATACGGTACTACTTAAGTTTTGAAATTATTCTCGTGCAATCCGTTTTTGTCTGAATATGCATTGATTGAACATTCCCAGCAGCAGAAAATATCCCTTCTATATTATGCTCACGTACGTACATGGAAGATCGCACTTTATTTTCTTTCTCAATCAAGCCACGGATGGGTTGATATTTTTAATCAATCAAGTTTTCGGAAATGAATAGCTTTATTCCATCGACCTGCAACAACAAACTGTGAACAGTTTTTGCCTTTTCTTGTTACAGTTCCAGGACGCTTGATTTTCCCGAGGTGCAAGGACGGAAAGGAGCAGGAGACTGGCAACAAGTACAAGGGTTTTTACTCACCAGGCACAAAGTCCTTGTTGGCCTACAATCCCCATTATTTCTTCAGCTCTGGAAGCACTCGCATCAAGGTAAATTCCTCATGTACCTTTATAGGGAATTGTCCTATTGCTGCACTGACTTGGAATGTCTGACATCATTTCATGCTTCAGCGGAATATTCCTGGGGGGGGGGGGGGGGGGGGGGGGGGTAATTTTTACCCAAGCTAGGGC